AAATATTAAGAAGGATAACAAAAGCCGGATGGTTCGTAAAAAATGATACAATACACCATGACCTCAGAATAGATGCAGTAGACACACATATAGCTAAATTAAATAACGAATTCCACGAAAAAGCCACCTCCTGCTCTGCACCAAATTTCTATGAAATATTCCTATTTGAAAATTTAACTGAAGACAAGAGACCAATAGCAGCATACTATTGCAGTGATGCATCACATTCCCGACATCAATAGCATATACATAACCTCATTTTCATCATATCAGCTTAGCTAAAGTGCATACTTTTACAATATTGTGTTATCACCCTACTGCATATAATTACACAGTCAGAACCTCAAAGATCCACATGAATACTCCTTTACTTCATTTGCATTCCACAACCTCATCGAAGCACCACAAAGATCAAGCTCAAAATGAATGGCAAAAGGGCCGCAAGTGGCCTCAGGTGACCAGATTTTTATACAGTTTAAGTAACATCTCCCCATCACAGCTTGAGAAACTCAAAAGATGCCAGAATAAAATACTCCGAAAAATAACGCAAGCAAGATGGTTTTTCCGAAATAAAAACATACAACACGATCTCAACATAGATTTTTTTAGATTATTGCAAAGCTAAATTGACAATTTTTTAGAAAAAAAAACTATACATTTTGACACAGCAATATTTAATGAAATTTTGACTTTTGAAAACTTGAGAGAAGACATTTCTTTTCCCTCTAATTAGCATCCCAGTTACCAGAAAGAGCCACCTCGAAGATAAAAATTTCAAGATGGATGGGAAAAGGGTCGTTAAAGGCCCTGAGGGGCCCAGATAAATTTCGATGATGATGATGAAGAAGAAAAAAATTTCTTAAAAAGCTTAGAAAATCATCGAGTTTGAAATAACGAAAGTTCTCGTGACCGATAGACACCCTGTACAAGTATAAAATTGTTCCTTTTTTGCGTATAGCCTCTAAGCGTGGAAAAAAATGAAATGGAAACAACGCATTACTTACTTGACTAGAAAAAATTAACTTCTCTTTTTCGTGTTAACGGTAAAACCAGGGAAACGAATCACTCCGCTTTCGACAAAAGATTTTATAAAGTGGTAGTGAAATAAAAACTAAAATTTGCACAATTTTGTTTAATTTCGCCAATACTTCGAAAGAAGTCGCTCAATGGACAGAGCGCTCGCCTTCCAATGAGGTGAAGCGGATTCGAATCCCAGCGACGTCCCTTGCCGTCAGGTTAACCGTGGGAAGTTTTCGTGTTTTTCCTTTTCATGTAACGCAAACGCAGGTGAGTTCCATCAAAGAGTCCCCCACGAAGACAATTTTCTCCTAATACTTGCTCCAAGAGTTCTCTTGTCTTCTGGATTGGTTTCAAAATTACAAGACAACGGAGTTGAACATTGCTAGTGGTATACCCAAAATTGGGTCAGCTGTACAATGTCGGTAATAAAAAAGTACATTGTAAGGGGAGTCGAGGTGGCTCAGGGGAGAGAGCGTTCATCTCCCAGTGACGTGATCCATGTTTGAATCCTAGCGGCAGCTGTTTGATACTAATTCTGCACCCAGCTTGCACCGACCACAGTAGTGACGTAAAACATCAACAGTGGTTATCGTAGGTTAGAGTCACCTTGGCTTTAGGCTGGACGTGTGAGCTTTTAGTGGTTTTCCTCTCCATGCAACGCAAATAAGAGTTAGTTTCCTCAAAGAAAATCTCGAGGGAGGCTAGTTTGTCCCAATGCTTAATCCAGGAGTTATAGATACTTGGTTTCTAGGTTGGGTTCAAAATAAACAGAGCTGCAGAGTAGAACATTGGTAGTCGTAAACCCAAATATGAGTCTGCTGTTCAACGACGGTTATAAAATAAAATATAGAAAAGGGAGAAGAGTACGGAGGAGAATTTCGAGTATCATTTATAAGGACACCACAAAGCTTTTCATGAAACAAAACATCAGACATTTTTTTAAAAAAACGAAATGTCTAATTTTACTAAATTGCTAGATTTTAATCACAGCTGAGATATTTTAAAACTCGAGCAAAAGCTATTTCTTAAAAAAAAAAAAAAAAAAAAAAAACTTTTCTNAAAAAAAAAAAAAAAAAAAAAAAAAACATTGAGTATTAACCCTACCATTGACAACATTACAAACTTTTGCTTTTTCTTTCGTCACCATGAGCCGGAATGGATAAACACAAATATAAACACATGAAGCTACTGAGGAAATAATGTTTTCATACATTTAACACAGCAGTAGAGCTTCTCCATAATTTTTCGCTCATTTTAAGTTCCCAAACCTTAAAAAAATTCAATCATTTGCACTTCTTTGCCCTTTCTAATGGAGCATCATAAATCACAGCTCTGAAATTTTTCACCTAATGTTTTGTAACCGTATTATTTTAGAATAAGGGCTTGCCTGGCCGACCGAGCGTTTTCGTAATAGTTTTAATCCGCCAGAAGGCAGCATGGAGGCAAAGGGTTGTAATTCTTCGTATTACTGAATGTATCTTTTTGATGTCCTCTAATTTTTACAATTTGTTACTCGTCTTGATATGGTCTTTATAAGTCGTTTTTATAAGGAGCATACAAGCAGAGCCTGACGAAGGCAGGGTATACGGGGCAATTGCCCACATCAGAAGGGGGCTCCCAAATCGAATAGAGAGTTAATTTTACGTTTCCTTCCTTAATAAACTTTTTTTAAAACAAAGTATCAGTACAGAGAAAAATCTGTTAGTTTTATGTTTGTTTCTCATTAATCTATACTTCGTAAATCCATGGCTTTCTGGGAACGGAATTCAGCTAAATTTTTGCAATTAAGATGGACAAATTTGGCCAGTCAAAATCCTATATTTTTACATATCGCATATATTCGTGCATTAGTAGCTTCAATAGCATTTTAAAGTAACCAGAGAGCATAGAATCAAGAATGTGCTATTTATAAAATACAAAAACTGAGCTTTGATTTTTAGTAACAACAATTATGCTACATAATCAAATGAATATTAACTCACACGAATAAGAAATCTTTTCTCTTCCTTCCAAATAATCAAACGATAATTCTCATATCATTATAATCGAGAACGAACAACTGACTTCGCATTTCCCCCCCCTTCTAAACAGCAAATAATTTATACCCAAAGACAATAGTAAAATATGACAGTGAAATGTTATATTCGCTAACGCTTTTTCTTTGCTTATTTCTGTCTTTATCACGCTTTATGTTATTATTCAACTGCAATATTATTTCATAATAGGGAAATCTGATTATGAATGTATGAGATTCGACGATTTGAATTTAAATAACATTTTATTCAGGACTGATTTTTACCTTGAAAAGTAGCTGGTAGTAAAACTATTTAATGTATATGCGTCAAAGCTCTTCAGTGTCGGCGATATAACAACTAAAATGATCCTTATTTGTCCAATTTTGAAATTTAATGCAAGACTATCATACCTTGTATATTTGTTTAAATTGTAAATGTGTTCTAAGAGCCGGGATGGATCAGGGGATAGAGCGTTCGCCTTTCAATGAGGTGACCGGTCATCCGGCTTACACTGGTGCTGACGTAAAATATCCTCAGTGGTAAATGTATCATGGATTAGAGTCCCCTTGCCGTCAGGCTAACCGACGGGAAGTTTTGTGGTTTCCCTCTCAATGTAACGTAAATGCAGGTTAGTACGATCAAAAAGTCCTCCACGAAGGCAAATTTCTCCTAACACTTGATATGATATATTCTCCCAATATATATAGNGTATATATATATATATATATATATATCATCACCTTCTAACATGTCAATCGTAGTGATTTGCCTATGCAATCTTGAGGAAAGCAAGTGAACTAATAATTATCTCTTTGCACTTGATGGCTCCGCCTTGTCACCAAAAATTACCTGCCACACTGAATGTTGAAATTGGTGTTAAATAATCACTATATATAATGCCCCCCCCCCAGGTATAATGTGGTAACTGTGCAAACTGCGGGTTTTGTCTAACAAATTCTTAGTGGTTGCGTCCGTTTTTTATTTTTAGTCCGTTTTTATCAGTTCTAAATATTCAATATTCCACTTGAAAAAAAATTACTTATAGTAAATAGTTTTGCCACTTCTCTTAACTAGAAAGTTAGCTTTTCGCATCTAGACAAATAACTATTTTACTGAGAAATGAAATGAAAATGTTTCTAGAAGCCCTTTTTTTTTAATTGTTAGTTTTGTCTTTCGCTTGTTTTTTCATTTCTTTTTCCTTCATTTCCTTGTCGTTTTTTCATGAAGATGATAGAAATTAGTTGATATGCTGTAAATATACTATCCGTGGAGATAATGCCTTCCTTGCATTGAAACCTAGGAAATTAATTGTTATTTTCTCCAACACTGCCAACAGTCACCTTAACATTTTGGACAAATGTTAAGAATAAATGCAAAAAAAATAAGCTTAAAAAACGGAATCAAATCTAATTTTATAATTTGTTTTCTTTTTCTAAGGAATTGTTCATAAAACTAAAAAATTAAATCTTATAAAAAATAAAGAAAAAAAATTGATAGCAATTTTATAATCAATTTTAGTGAAAAAATATCAAAGTAAACACTTCACTTTTAAATGTCATCCTAAAAAAAAAGTTTAGATAACTCATTACTGTGAAATAATGGAAAGTTGCAAAAAGAACAAATGAAAGAAGAAAAATAATAATAATAAATAGTGGTTAGAAGTTCAAATATCAAAGTAATACTTCACTTTTAAATGCCATCCTTAAAAAAAATTTTTTTTTATGTAACTCATTACTGTGAGATAATGAAAAGTTGCAAAAAGAACAAATGAAAGAAGAAAAATAACAGTAATAAATAGTGGTTGGAAGTTTAAATTTATGATTATATCTAGCTGATAGTTTCTAGTTTTAGTAACTACTTTGATTTCTAAATATTTTTTGAATAAATCATTGATTAACACCCATCACAAATAGTAATTTGGCCAGAAATATTTACATTTTCATTGTTTTTAATCATTTGACTCACCTTTCTTCTTTTCCTCCTTTTCTTTTTTCTCGATAAGAAAAGCTTCCTTTTCCTGCTCACCATACATCATAAATCGCACCTTATCCATAAAAGAGAACGCCAATTCGGGCGACCTGTCCTCTTCAGGGGCGGCCATGGCGCCCTCCTCGCCGCCGCCCTGTACTTGCTCCGCCATTTCAAGCACGCTATAGTCCTCAATGTAAGCGAACGTAGGGGCGGCCACCCAGCAAACGGAACGCACACTCCACAAAACGCGATCTCGCGCTCAACCACAGCTTCCTCGTGCGGCAGACGATTTTCGCCATGCCATACGAAACACAATGATAAGAGACGAGAGTTATGTTATGAAATAGCGCGCACACACACCTCGTTACCTCAGCAGAAAAATCACTTGCGTATACCTGAGTGCCATGCGCGGCAGAGAAGACGCGAGTTTCCCTGAATGTTTGATTCTCGTCTGCCTCTTTGGATGCTCCTTAGCTCCCTCTTTCGGATGGTGAAAGATGATGAAAAATCGTTTGCTCCACTGATGGCAGGAGACTTAACATTAGAAAATGAAAGGTATTATCGAGCGAACTTAACACTTCAAAGTGTTGATTTGGTAGAAAATCATCTTTTTCTTATTAAGATGACAATCTCCTTTTTTTCTTTTTTAAATAAAAAGAATAGAAAAGAGAGGGGAAAAACATTCTGTTCTTGGTTTCCCAGAACATATGTCCTGTAATGAATTTTCTGAAATATGAATATAATCAATTTAATTAAAAGCTAACTTTAACTTTCACCTCTTCAAACATATGTAATAGGCAACAAAGAATATGGAAAAATGGATCCCAAAACGGAATATATTTAAGCAAATAAAAAATAACTGAATAAAAAATATAATTATAAAAATCTCTTGTCAAATATTAAACATTGTAACATAAAATTTATGCTAATGTTTGAATATTATTTAAAAATATTTGTGAACTTGAAAACAAATGAAATTCAGGGGAAAAATCGTTATCAGCGGTACCACAAATTAGAGGTTTATAAACTTCTTTTTATCCATTTTCACACACATTCAATTTTTAGTTGTTTCACCAATTTGTTGAGTTACTAATTTATATATTCACTGATACTTACATTTATTGGTGCACATTCTTTTTTCACACAATATTTCGCTATATCAAGAATCATTATAAAATTTCATTTGGTAAAATAAAAAAAAACGTCATCATAGAGACGTTAAATATTTATTGCCATATCCATAATATTTAACAACGGTGGATGAAATCAGTATTTTCCATCCTTCCCGACAAAATTTTAATATATTAACAAACATAATAAAAAAAAGAGGAAGATAGAAACGATTCTAATAAAGAATTCACACTCAAAAAAATATAAAGTATTTGTACTAAAAGCAAGAATTAGTAGAAATTGTAACAATAATTCATAGAAGTTGTAACTGAGTTGATAATATGCTAAGCAGCATTGTATGAATAACATTGTATATGTTTCCTTCAGTGTAAATATCGTCTTCAAGGGGCGGCTATCCAAAGTAGGAAATCTGGCATTTCATACAATGCCAAAAATTGATCTGCAAAGCATCAAATGATATATTGCCTATATACATTGCTTATATACATTGCTTATATACATTGTATACAATGCCAACTGACAAAACGGCAAAGTATAAACTATGCTTATTCATACTTTTAATTAGTATGATTATGGTTTACTAGAGTTAGTAGAAACTGATTTCCTGATAAAAAAAAAGTAGGTTTTTACCTTATTTTGTTTTCTTTAATAAGAAAGGTATAAACGTTTAGAATTCGTCATCCATTATTAGTAGTAATCAACTTAATATGGACAATAACCTGGTGGAAATGTGTAAGCCATTGTCCGATAAAACTGAACTTGCACGGTATTCACTACGCTATGGATTTAAAATTAAAGCAGATTTCTCGGTAAATTCTTGCCCGGTATTCCTTTCCAAACTTAAATTTGTTTTTTAAGGTAAAAATCTATTACCCGGTATTTCCTACGGTGATGCTTTTCTTGACCGGATATTGTACTCCGGTTAAATTAAAACTTGTATTCCATAAAAAAATTATTTATTGAATAGAGAGAATGTTAATTTTTCTAACGCTGAAAACGCTTAAAACGCAAGGCAATAGTATACAATGCCGGTGTATTGACGATAACATCTGTAAACATCCAGAATTACACTATCAGTATTATTTATATATTTATTAAAGTATTACTTTTCGCAATGCTAATAAATCCAAGAGGACAAGTATACATTCTCCTTATCATTTCGATATAAACATCTAGAAATCATAGAGCAGTATATTCTGAAAGGAAAAAAAAAACCTATCCGTTAAACGATTTTGTACCAAGCTTGTTTTTAGCAAGAGCAAATCAAACGTGACAAAATCAACGCTATATAGTGTAATTCCTGAGAAACTTAATGCTCTGTTATCATTTCAATATCCCATAAAAAAAATCTTTATCCAAAGTAAAAAACAATCATCGACTTAACACCATTTTTCGAATTCATACGATAAGAAGATTTCACTAGCAAACGGTGATACAAATCACTGCCATTATAGGTAGAGGGAGGACAGAATTTCCCAGCTCATAAGAAAATCGGCGAAAAACGTTTGTTTTGTCTAAAAAGGAAATTTGTTTATCCAATGGAAAACGAGTTATCTCAAGTGCCGAATTTCTAGCGGATGAAGATCGCTCAGGCATTTTAAAATGTCTCCATGAAATCATTTTGCGATAAATATCAATATATAAGAAATAATCGCATCGCTGGCCATGCGCAACGCTTTAGTTATAGAAGACTCGCGTCTTATTCTTTAAGGCTTTTTTTTCAATCCAAATACATAATGAAAAGAATCCTTTTCGGAATTTGTTTCACGCAACAATTATCTTCACAATATCTTCTCATATAATTAGTTGTTTTCAAAACAATGGAATTTACGCTGACTTCTGTTAAGCGTTTTCTCTGGAATTGGCTGCTGGAAATTACATTATGTGGCTTTAACTAAAGCAGTTTTTCTTTTTTTTTTTTAGAATACAATAAAAGATTGATGTGATGAGCATTAAAGCATATTTTTATTTTCTGGCAATCTGGGACTTCCCCCTTGTTAGCAATAATAATAATAAAAAATAATAATAAAATAAAAAAATTTTCTTAAATGTCGTCAGCCTTCTCTTAAGTAAGAATATGCTTTGTATCGGGCTTGATTTTATAAGTTAGGTTTCCTTGAAATATACCGTCAAAGCAAGAAAAAAATAAATAAATAAATATATAAAATAAAATAAAATGAAATGAAATAAAATAAAATAAAATAAAATAAAAATTGGACAAACAATTATCACACATTAGTGACATGCTATTAAAAATAATATTTTTTTTATGCTTTTCTTATTTTTATCACGCAACTGGAAGACAATGGAAAGTTTGGAGGTTAACAATTTACTCATCGAAACAATGGTTTACAAAAACTACAATGTTGTCAATAGCGTGGCAACATTTTTTAAATTACCCAATTCTATCAACATACCCACGAATGAGGTAAAAAATATTTTTAAGCCTGATAATACTTATGTCTAATTTTGCTTGTTTATTCAGTAGAAGAATACAAAACGCGAATGAGTCGTAGTCTCTTAACTGATGCATTTTGAATGTTTGCTTGCCTCATAACAGGCCTCATAAGTAATGTGATATTCCAAGCTAGGAAAGAGGTTCAACAGGCTTTACTTTGCGTATTTATGAGGAAGGTAAAACTAGATACAGAGCAAATGATTGACTTTTATGAGGGAAACATTTACTTTTTTGCTTTTAGCTTGGTTAACAGCGAACTCAGATGAGTCATAAAATGAAAATTGGACTTGATGTCCATTAACAACTCTATTATTTTTGTATTGGATCAAAGTAGCCCCTGTTGACGGGACGATACAGATGCAAAATTGCTCGGCTCTGCAAAAGAATTTATAAAATGGTAGGAAACTAAGAACTATAGATTGTAAGACTTTGTCTAAATTTAAGAGCAACTATTTCTAGATAATTAGAATAAATCGGTGTTTTGTATCCTAAAAAGGGTTAAGAAAATGCAAAATGGTAAATCACAACTTAATAAGATTGCTTGTCAGCTTGTCATAAGGTAAATAATAAATTAAAATTTTAAAATCTATGTTTTGCAAGCAGACTTAAAATTAGAAAATAAATTTATTTTCGACAACCTAAAACAGGAAACGTAGAGAGCATGACTTTCATAAGACGTGGGGTGACTTTTCGTTGGTGATAGAAGTTTATAACATTTGTACACTACAGTTTTAGAGTTATTTTGTCCCGTTTAGTGCAGTTATAAAAAGTTTATGTACATAAGTATATAAAACACTAGTACATATCACTAGTATATAAGACATGTCAACTCGATTCTATGGTGGGGTACCTTTCCATATATGAAAGTTGACATTGTCGATATCTGCTCTCCCCACATTGGTGACCCGGGTGTGATGTGAACCTACTTCGACAGTAACACCCACTTCGATTTTAACGAGCCTATTTCGATGCATTGTCCACATTAAACAGTTTACTTGCTACTTGTGACTGCGACATTAACCACTTCGTCGCACTGTTGCTACTCAGTCTCGATCACACACAACGTCGACATGCATAGACTCGACTGCTAATGGCAACACAGGAGCAACCACGACTGTTAACTTAATACAGCTCTCACGATCAGCAGAAGCACGGTGATCTTAATACAGCTCTCCTGGTTTCTCACAAAACAGCAATGATACAACTAGTGGTATCCGTTGATCGAATTCTATCACAGCTATAATTCCGGTGGGGGTGTACTGTAGAGTGTCTACCACTACAAAAATGCAATTCCAATTCACTAGTATATAAGACATGTTAACTAGATTCCATAGTGAGTTACTTTTTCATAGATGAAGGTTGACATTGTCGATATCTGCTTGAATGTTGACATTGTCGATATCTGCTCTCTCCCTCCCCTCAGTTTATTTTAAAAGTTTCATTTCCCTTCATTATTTTCTTCTTTTTTGTTTTATACCTGTTAGTTTCTTTTTGTCAAAATGTCGTCAAAATTATACTTACTTACTCACTTATCCTCTACGTGCCATTGGGCACTTAAGGCCTCTAGCATATCCCTCCGCCTCCTGTCTCTAGCAATAGATCTTGCTTCCTCCCAGCCAGATATTCTACATTCTTTTAATTCGCCCAAAAACATGTGCTGGATGGTAAGTTTGGGTCTTCCTCTTGTTCTTTTACCATCAGGGGCCCATGTAAGCGCAACAAATGTAATTTTTTCTTTGGGCATTCTAAGGATATGTCAGAGACAACTCCATCTTCGTTTTTTTTTTTATTTCATCTTCTATTGTTTTTATTTTAGCTTTCTTTAATAGATTTTGACTTGATACTTTGTAAGGCCAGAAAATTTTAAAAATAAATCTTAAACATTTGTTTTGA